CTTCATCCTTATTCTGATTGGTACCTCTCTCTGCTCAACTCCTTTGCAGGTTCATTTCCAATTGGTTTATGTAACAGAGCAGCTGAGCAAAATATCAAAAGGATTCTGGGACATCATCGGGGTGGCTGCTGCTGAGATGGCATTTCCCTTACAGCTTTCCAGTGAAGGAGAAAGCACTCCTCACTTGAAAACTGCCTGGGCTCAGTAAAAGCTTATTGTACCTTAAACTCAGATTATTGGTTTATTTCGGGGCTTGAGATCAGAGGTAAGGCTGGCCTCCCCTATGTTTCATGAGAATATGTATTAGATTATACCATGAATACTCTAGCCCAAAATATATTGTGCACACTGTCAAGTGCAAGGACTTAGACACCTGGAATATTAATTTTCCCACTGTGCTTTTCCTCTTATAAAATGCTTTCTCATTCTCTGTCATTTAATCCTTGCCACCACTTCATGAAAACAACATTACTGTTTTCATTATGTCCATCAGTCATTCCCATTTGCAAACGGAAGAAGCCAAGGATCATGTGGTTAGAGACTAAGTACAGTATCCAAGATCACACAGCTAGTAAATGATTCCAAGTTTCTGATTCAAATCTGGTATGTTTTTCTCAACACAGATTTCTGCATACGCACTGTTGCCCTATACGTATGGCACAGTACTTAAAAGGGCCATGATTTCACTGATTTATTCACTATTCTTATTTATATGCAGCCAGGTTGTAATGGTTTTCACTGGCCAACTTTTTTTTTTTTTTTTCTTTTTTCTTTTTAAAGGTACATCACCAGGACCTTCTTCCTAGTCTGTCTAGTCTGAAATCTCTACTGAAACCTATCCACCATGGGTGACCCTGCTTGTATCTGAAATATTGGTAGCACGGATTCCAGAATCACAGAAACACACAAGCCACCACAGTACAATGCCCTGACAAGAAGCATCAAAAAAAGATGGAAGAAATACACGGACACTGGGCCAAAAAGAACTGATTGATATTTAACCATTTCAGGAGTTAGCATATGATCAAGAATCAATGGTATTAAAAGAAGTCTAAGCTGCACTGAAAGCACTGATAAAAAAAATTCCAGGAATTTATGGGACATGAACTGAGATGTTTCAACAAATGAGTACAACAATGGAAGCAGTCATTGATCTGTGCTAAGAAATTTGGAAGACAGCTACCTGGTCAACCAATTGAAAAAGATCCTTATTGTGTTCCAAAGAAAGGCAATCCAACAGAATGTAGAAATTATTAAATAATATCATTAATATCACAAGCAAGTAAAATTTTGCTGAAATGGTTGCATCAGTACATGGCCAGGAAATTGTCAGAAATTCAAGCTGGATTCAGAAGAGGGCATGGAATGTAGGATATCATTGCTGATGTCAGATAGATCTTGGCTGAAAGCAGAGAATACCAGAAGGATGTTCATCTGTGTCTTATTGGTCATACAAAGGCATTCAACTGTGTGGATCACAACAAATTAAGGATAACATTGCAAGGAATGGGAAATCCAGAGTACTTCATTGATCCCATGGACCTGTACATAGGCCAAGGGGCAGTCATTTGAACAGAACAAAGGGATACTGCCTGGTTTAAAATCAGGAAAGGTGTGCATCAGAGCTGTCTCCATTCACCAAACTTATTCAATCTGTATGCTGAGCAAAGAGAAACTGGACTACATGAGGAAGAAGATGGCATCAGGTTTGAAGGAAGACTCATTAACAGCCTGCTATCACATAAAGATGATACAACCTTGCTTATTGGAAGCAAAGAGGGCTTGTCCATCAGCAAAGAGGACTGATGAAGATCAAAGACTACAGCCTTCAGTATGGATTACAACCCAATGTAATGGTTAGACTTTGGACATGTTCTTAGGAGGGAACAGTCCCTGAAAAAGGATCCCATGCTTGGGTCAACAAAAAAGAAGCAGACTCTCAGTGAGAAGGATTGGGCACAGTGTCTACAACAATGGGCTCAAACACAGCAATGACTTTAAAGATGGCACAGGATGGGGCAGTGTTTCCTTATGTTGTACATGAGTCCTCTATGAATCAGAACTGACTCCATGGTACCTAGCAACAGAGTTTTAAAAAATACATTCCTTTCAATTTTAATTTCAAAGTGTTTATTGCAGAAAATTTGGAAAAATCGTAAATATTCAGAGAATGAAATACAGTCATTTCTAATTTCACCCCCTGAAATGACTTCTTGCTAACAGTGTAATGTACACCTGCTAGACTTCCCAGGATAGTCTAAATGTACCTATATTAGATGTAAACAGAGTTAACACATCTTGTAAAATTGGGATGCTATAGATAACACTAGGGAGAGCAGTAGCTCTGTATGGTAAGCACAGGACTGCATACCACAAAGTTGGTGGTTTAAGCCCACCAGTGATCCTGTATAATGTTTCTGAGGAGCGGATGGTGAGCTTGAACTGCTGATCTTTCAGTTCAAACCAACTTTGTAGTCTGACGTATTAACCCACAGCACCACAATGATAAATAACATTATATTTTTCCATTTAGCAATTCATCTTACCAAGCCATTAAATATCCTTCTACACCACCATTTTAATGACTTGTCGTTACTGTTGTATCAGAAGTGACTCATAGCAACCCTGTACAGTAGCAGCTGGTGGGTTTGAACCACAAACTTTGTGGCTTGCAGTCCTGTGCTTATTCTACGGCACCTCACCAGGACTCATGGTGTTTAATCATATGGATGGAGTTTGGCCCTCTTATGAATAAGGCAACAATGAATATATCAGCAAAAATATATCGTATCCTATGGAATTACTGGACCAATATTGGAATGAATATTTTTAAGGTTTTTATACATTTTGCCAAACTACCCTCCGAAGTGAGCATACCCATGTACACTGTGATCAGCTGTGTCTGAGTGTCCACCTTCCTAACCGCCTCATAAACACTTTTATCATTGCCAATATCTAGTCTGGCTACCTAGCTCCACAGCCTGATATTCCTGTGGGCCCCAGTTCCAGTCCAGTAGCTCTGCCTCTAAAGCATATGTCATTAGTCCCAATGGACAAAACATGTCAGTTTGTCTCACCTCCACTGATGGAACCTGGTCCCAGTCTCCCATTCCTGTTATCCATCTGGTCTCCCTGCTTCCATTCTCATTCCCAAACTCATTTCTAATCCCCAGCCAGAATGGTCATTAAAAAGCAAAACAGGTCAGCCTACCTACCAGTCAGGATCTAGCCAATCTAACCTGTCTACCCCTGACATCTCCGTGGATACCACCCTCCCTGCGTTCACTGCATGCCAGTCATGCTGTGCTTTCTGTCTGTTTCAGACACACATCAAGCTTGTTCTACATCAGGGCCTTTGTGCTTGCTGATGCCTCCTCCTGGAACAATCTTCCAGCTTTCTTTGCAAGCCTAGCTCCTTTTGTCAATCAGATCTCAGATTAAGTATCACTTCTTCATAGGGGCCTTCCCTGGCCATCAACCTAAAATAGCCCCCTCCCAACTGTCACACTATACCATCACTCCCCTTGATTTCACTTTGATTTGGTTTTGTACAGTACTTACCCTAATATGAAGATCTCTTGTCTGCTTATTTGCTCATTTCTATATGTTCTATCTCCTCCCTCCTCCCCCACAATGTGCGGAAAGAATATGACCCATTGATTCAGATGGCAAACTTGCTCACCCCCACATCACTGTTGAGGAGTCAGGCACATAGTTTGTTTTCAATAAATATTTACTGAATACATGAATGCACAGGAAAGATGACGTCACTTTATAGTCTTGTCTTGTTGTGGTTAATTATCATCAAGTCAACTCCAACTCGAGTAAGCAGAGTACAACCTACTCCATAGAGTTTGCAAGGCTCTGACCATGCAGAAGCAGACCACCTAGTTTATCTTCTAAGGGGTCTTTGAGTGGATTTGAATCACCTAACCTTTTAGCTAGTAGTCAAGCTTTTAAATGTTTACACTACATTTTTTCCAGAAACAAGTAAAAGAGACGAAGCCCCAGAGCAATGTGGAATCAAGATTGGTTAATCTTGATTGGTTAACCTACACTGCAGACCCCCAGAAGCTCAAGATGCAGATGACCCTCTTATATTCAACTGATTGAGCGGGATCCTCTCACACTGGAAAACAAATCTGGTCTAACACTCTTAAAGTTGCAGCCTTGACAAAGTCACTTCAAAAAGAAGAGAAATCTTTACCTTAAAAACTTACAGTACATATGAAAACAACGGAGAACACACTAGTCTCTGTTGTTTTCATACTAAAGGCGCTTACATGGTCTAGTTCAACAAGATATGAATAGGTTATAATGTATTACAGGATTTCCCAGTAACTCAAGAACCCACGTATTAATAAAAGTAAAAATATAAAATGCATGGGTCTAATCTCTACACTACAATAGGGACAGTGAGTATTTATAGAGCACTTCCAACCACACTGGCATTCTTTCACGCCTGTACCATCCCCTAGAGGGCACATACAGCGTGAGCCTTAGTAATGTAGTGGATTATGAGCGTGGCTGCTAACTGCAAGGTCAGCAGTTCTACCAGTTGCTCTAAGAGAGAAAGTTGAGACTTTCTATTCCCCAATAGATCAGATTTACAGCCCTGGAAACTCTATACAGGGTCAGAACCGACTCAGTTGCACCCAACAACCCAACCACCACCATTGACCAGACAATGTTTTGTTCTGTTGTACATAGGGTTGCTATGAATCAGAACCAACTGGATGCTGGATGGCACCTACCAACAACTATTGAGTCCTTCCCAGGAAGCCAGCTCTTTATCTGGTACTTTACTACATATAATCTGTTCAGCAACTCTGGGGTATTATTATTTCTATTCTTACAGATAAAGAAACTGAGGGTTAAAAGAGGTTAAGGAGCTCACCCAAAATCACAGATACATGAATTAGAGTCAAGATTCCAGCACAAATCTATCTAACTACCAATAGATTGTAGTTTGTGGACAATTTCCAGGAAGCCTTCAGCACAATGTGAGAAGTGGGGTGCTCAATCTGGCAGTCCCCTGCCATTTCCACCACCTCGTATTGATTCTGCATACCAAGATGCAAAGAAACATTTTCTTCAACTTCAGATAACACACAAAATCTTTTCTATAGAGGAGAAAATCCTCTATGGATTCTCATGATAATGGCAATACTGGAGTCATTCTCTTGTTCCCCTTGCTAGATCTGGATTTCTACTTAAGGTACATTCTCCAAAGACACTCGCCTGGGCTCCCCTATGCTGCCAGTCAACAGGTCAAACAGCTTCTTATCCTTTCCCACTCTCTCCCAGGGCCTTTCCTGAGACAGAGCCTCCAAAAAGCTCACTCAGATATTATAAAGCCCATGGTGTGAGTGAAAGTACATGTTTCCAGGGCTTCAGGTGATCCAACGAGAAACTCTTAGGCATCTTAAAAGATTCATTTATCTCTTTCTTTTGCATCAGAGCAAAAGGAAGAAAGCTACTGTTAGTTAGGGAGCAATGGGTTGGATTTGTCCCTCTGGAAGTAGGGTAGGGAAAGCTGGATGGGAAATACATTTACCAATTCCCATTTACAACCTGATAGAGTGGCACAATCTTTAAAAAAAACAGCTTGATCCTGTATTTTCATTTTAACAAATTTGAATGAGAAAGTGGAACTATTTAGTTGTCCAGGTAAATGGTCAGACAGGAGTTTCCCAGGTTGAGCTACAAGCCCTATCTCTTGGTCTCTCTGCTTCAAATAGACCTTTTGAATAGTAAATACAGCCGTGAGCCACTGAACGTCCACATTACATTCTGTGAAATAAGATGATATGCAATGTAGACATTGAATGAACAAGCTTCATGCCTTAGCAATGAATTAATTATTAATGTGCTGATGGGGATTCACTTTTACGTCTGGTCCTCAATTCACGTCACTAGCAATTTCTCCACATCTGATACAGGCCCTTCTGGCATGTTCCATGGCCTGGCAGCTTTCGGTGGAGTCACCTTTTAATGGCTTGGAGAAATTTTTATTTTTAAGGACAGTCGGTCATAATTATCAAGTGTGCTATGTCTGAATCTTGAGCAATAGCATTCACTGATTTTCTACCTTGCTGTTGTTGTTGTTTTTGTTTTGTTGTGAAGACCCATCGATTCAGTCCAGACTCATAATGAACCTGTATAGGGTTCCTAAGGAGTACCTGATAGGTTTGAACCACTGACCTTGCAGTTAGCGGTCCAGTGCTTTTCCCACAGTGCCACACCAAGACTCCTTTAAACAGCCTTTTTTATTTCACTTCCAAATTGACACTTCTCCTTTGCCTCTTGCTGCTGCTACCATTAGCACAGGTATTGCTACTTTTGGGAGCCATGATTCACTTCCCAGTAATATTTTCCAAAGAAAATTAAACACAGAGATAACACAACAACACTCATGAGAGGAACATTACATGAGATTGGGTGCTGCTACCTACTGTAAAAGCACGCACTGTTACACAGGAAACTTTTTGAAAGAAAAGCACAGAATGTTGTTGTTGTTGTTGTTAAGTGCCGTTGAGTCGGTTCCGACCCATAGTGACCCTGTATAGGGCATCCAAGGAGTAGCTGGTGGATCTGAACTGCCAACCTTCCTGTTCAAAGCCCAGTACTGATCCTACGTATTATAATTATCAAGATATAGATATGATAGCTTATATAGGTAATGTGCCATGGTACCATCTGAGAATGCAACTATTTTGCATAGAAGAGACATGAGATACAGTTGTGTGAACTCAGGAATCCTAGATTCTACTATAACCTTGGATTCCTGGAATAGCACTTTAGGATAAGCACTGGCTTACACAGTCGGTTTGAAGTGCAACATCGGCAGTTCAAAACTTAGCAGCCACTCCTCGGAAACTCTATACAGGGTCGTTATGAGTCAGAACTGACTCAACCTAGCAACACTTAACAACAACATTATAACTTTATGGGACCACAGGCATATACACCTGGTTGGGTGTTGCCCAAATGGACCTCACACAGCACTTGCCTATAAAATGAAGGCAAAGAGGGTAGAAGAGCTTCTTCTGAAAACACACACACACACACACAAATAACAGTAGAATCAGGAAAGAAATCCATGGGAGCTTTAAGGGAAAGAACGGTGTAAAATGAAGTGAAGTGCCTCTATTTGTCCCCACATCCCTGCATCTCCAGTAAGCCTCAGAAGGTACAAGGGCAATCCTCTACTAGAAGGTCTGGATGATATAAACAGTTAAGAGTTGACTACTAACCCAAAGGTTGATGGTTCAGACCCACCCCGAGGTACTTTGGAAGACAGGCCTGGCAATTTGTTTCCAAAAGTCTTGAGAATCCTGTGAAGCAGTTCTACCCTGAAACACATGAGGTCAGCGTGAGTCAGAACTGACTCAGCAGTACCTGGTTGGCTAGTCCTCTATGTGGTCACTGCATTTAAGACAATCACAAAGTATACAACAATTTGGGAAATGAGACTTCACCAGGCTGATTTTTTTTTTTAAATATCTTAAAAAGATTTGTTTATTCTTTAATGGAAAATGAAATCTAACATTAAAATTTTTGTACACAGGAATAAAATGGAAATTAACATAGCCTTTGAAAAATATTTTAAATTTCAATCAAGTAAACTTATGCCAGGAATTCTTACCACACAGTAAGACCTGAATGAATATTGTATAAGAGGAATTTATTAGCACTTTAACCCAAAATAGAACTGGGTTGATTAAAAAAAAAAAAAAAAATGCTAGTCATACGCATACTTGCTAAGTCTAATTCAGCACAAAGGAGCAGTGGCTAAGCATTTGGCTGCTATATGAGAAGTCAGCAGTTTGAACCAGCCATGCCACCTCGGAAGATCTGTACAGATCTACAGCCTTGGAAACTCCAAGTGGCAGTTCTATTCTGCAGGGTTAATATGAGTTGGAATCAACTCACTGGCAACAGGTTTTGTTTTGTTATTGTTAATTTAGCACAGGTTTAGACCCAATCCTTCCTCCCATGTGCCATGCACACAAATGCACATAACAAATTTTAAATCCTGAATCTTGTTTTACTTAGAATATATTTCAGATTGAAATGCTGAGATGCATATAACTCAAGCAATGGCATTCAGGCTGCTAAACACTGACTAACACGTCCTTGGTCAGCAGCTGCCAGGTGATTAAAAAATAAATGGAAATGATCAAATTCCTATATGCAATCTGCAGCAGATATGAAGACGCCACCCTGCCCCCCTTTTTCCCCCGATTGTTCTAAAACAGATCATCTTAAATATATTCCACGTATTGCAGTAGCCTGGACATCAAACGTTTCTCAGAGTGAAATTAAATATAGCATTTTATTTGGAACAAGTCAACCTAACTCGATTTCCTTTCCCAGCATAGCCACGCAGAGACCGTCCATTTGGCATGTGAAAGATGCTCTCAGCTCTGAGCCAGACTTATAACTTCTTTCTATGCTCCTGACAACCCAAAGGGGCAATTTTCTTTCCAATTTTACCCCTCATACGCTGTGGAAAATACCCCCGCCCTGCCTCAGAGCTTCTCCAAGGTCCTTTCAAACGTGGTCTTGCACTGCTGGAAATTAAACTTCCAAAAACAACAAACGTGCTGACCATAGAGCAATGTGCTCTTTGTGGAGCAGATCCTATCCAGGTTGATACTGCATCTAACCTAATAGAACCACAGAAGAGCCAAGTCAACTAGGAATCTCATGGGCAATAATCACTTACCAGACACCCATGAGCGCGGAGTGCTTATGGGAAATAAAGGATGTTAGCACAGTGGGAGTGGGGAGCCCATAGACCCTAAAGTCCCATGGGCTTACCTTACAGATGGTCTAACTGAGACTCAGAAAGCCTGAAGTGACATCACCAGGTTAGTGGTCATGCCGATTTCCTAAATCTTGAACCAGGAGTTCTCTGTAGTTTTCCTTGTTTGTACAAGGGAGACAAGTGATAAGTAAGCACCTGCTATAAAGAGAGCCATAATGGCACAACGGGTAAGCATTAAGTGGCTAACCCAAAAACTGACAGTTGGAATCCACCCATCGGCTCCACACAAGACAGACTTGATGATCTGCTTCCGTATAGATTGTTGCTGTTAAGTGCTGTGGAGTCGGTTCTGAGTCACGGTGACCCTGTATAGGGTTTCCGAGGAACAGCTGGTGGGTCTGAATCACTGACCCTGCATTTAGCAGTCCAGTGCTTATCCTACAGTGCTACACTAAGACTCCTTGATTACAGCCCAGACAACTCTATGGGGCAGCTTTACTCTATCACATGGGGTTCCTTGGAGTCAGTACCAACTCACTGGCACCTAACAACAACATAATGAATACATTAGGGTTATCAGTGGAAGTTCATGGTGATTCCTTAATAATAGCAACCACTTCCTGAAGGCCAGACTAGGTGCTTGGCATTTCTTATCTTTAATTTCCAAAATAACCCTGAAATGAGGCCATTTAGGATTAAAATCAGACCCAAGGACACACAGATGAAGACTCTCATAGCTGCCATTTGAGCCCATTTTGTGTCTGATTCCAAACCTGACTATATCACGTTACTTCTCTAACAGATGACCTCATTTGCCCCATCCCTGAGGCCAAAAAAAGGTTCTCTTTAAAAGATTATGAAGCCAAAGCAAGACCAAATAAACATCCAGGTTGCAAACCATTATACGGAGCATGATCTAAGGTATGTGTGTGTATCTATTTGTATGTTTATATACATACACAGAGACTAAAATACCAACAGCGGTGATTTTTCAATTTTCTAAATATTAAAATAAACAGGTGTGGCTTATGAATCTGAAATGGAAGATTTTCTCACAGAGACAAAAATTAGGCCATGCCTTTTACTAGTCCCAGCCTGGAAAACAGAACAAATTCTCTGCTGTAGTCTGCACACTTTGCCTGCCATCTGTGCATTAGAATCACACCCCTGTGCATTAAGGGGACTTAAAGCAATACTGATGTCAAGGCTGCACCTAAGGTCATCTGACTCAGAATCTCTGGGATGGGGCAA